TGTGCAAACCTGTGTGTTCTCACTCCTTTCCCATTGCACACGGGGAATCTGTGAGTTAGGGTTGACAGGTGGGGAGCAGGAGCCATGCGAGCAGCTCAGCTGCAGTGATGTGTGCCTGTTCGTAAGCAGCAGAGCGAGCGGGAGCATAGTAGACAGGATTCTTTGAAAAATTAACAGGAAAAGGAAAAAAAAAAAAAAAAAACAGAAAAGAAAACATGCCCTTTGCGTTTGAAGCTATAAATCACTACAGTTTTCTGGTGATGATCTTCGCTGATTCCTGAAAGTGTGTTTCTCTTTGACTTAACTCGGACAACTGTGTGCTGTCAGGATGGATTACTGCAGCACACTTACTGTTTTGTGCTCATGTGGTATCTTGAAGTTTGGCTTGTTAAACCCCAAAGGCAAGGCATGGGGCTCACTTCAGTTATGAAAGTTGCAGAAAGAATATCTGAAATTTAAATACAAAACTCTGATGATGTTTTATAATCCAAAGACATCCATTCTGTAAATTTTACTGCTATACAACTTCTTTTTTTGAAAAGGCACACTAAAAGATAGACAAGGGAATATACTTTTTAACGAGTAAGCTGTTCAATATAATGTATCATAACTTGTCAGCAGAGACATTATTGCCGCTGTTTTTGAAACTGTCTATATTTTAATGCCGTTAGAGTTCATCATTTTGTCACATTTGGGAATAAATCCAGCTGATTAACTTTGCCCTTGGAACCTTGATGTCATTGGGGTAATGAGAGAAAAATCCCTCAGGATTTGAAATGATTGAAGGGGGAATAATAAAAAAGCATTATGGGATAGTCCTTTCTCCTTTGAAAACTGATCATCCAAGTACTAAAATGAGCTACTCAGTTTAGATTTAACATAGTTTAGGAAAGAAAATACTGAAGTTTGGGATAAGGAAACATATTGAGCACCTATTTTCAGTATTTCTTTTATTCACATGTTAGGATTTTATCTAATTGAGCTGAATCTTTTTATTATTTCTTTTGTCCTTTTTTGGTGGGAAGAAGAAAATTATGAATTATATTAAATACTATTCATCTTTGTCTGAAAAAGATACAAGTCCCTGGTAGTAATGACTGCACTTTTTACGCCTCAGACACTTCAGTAGGGGTGTTGGCCGTATTTAATAGTAACCACCAAGTTCCTACGTGGGTATAATGTTCACTTAATGCAGAGTGGCATAATCAGAGGAAATGAACCAACTATTGAGAAGTGTGAGGTTTTCATTTTATAGGAAGGCTTTATCCCTTTCCAAAGTTGCTGCTGTTGTTGTTGTTGTTGTTGTTGTTGTGTGTGTGTGTGTGTATGTGTGTGTGTGTGTGTGTGTGTGTGTAGCTAACAGAGGAAACGTGCTAATCAAACAGATTTTGGAATTGAAGTGGTTTGTAGTACATGATGAAAATGATGATTTCATTAAGTTTCACATACGTAGAAGGTAGAACATAATCCTAAATAGGGTTTTGTGTTGGTTACTTTGCTCTCCTTGCTGGGAAAAAATACCCCACACCCAGAATTAAGGAATAAAAGGTTTATTTAGCTCATAGTTTGTAGAAGTTTCAATCTGTAATCATCTGGTTCCAAGGCAGGATGACACATGGCAAAGAAGCAATAATTCATAGCTGTGAAAGACAGCAAAAGCAGGAAGAGCAAACAGGGAGGAGCATGGAAAGCAGGCTCTGTCCCTTATGTTGTATGTAGGCTACCGCCCTAGTGTGGGTGTAGCACTCACTCCCATAATTCCAGCACTGGACCATGAATCAATCTCAGATTCTAGAAGCCCACACCCATGACTGTATGAGGTTTGAGGGGGACATTCCTACACAAACCATAACACATTCTTGCAATATACTTCATTTCCCTGAAAATTCAAGTAGAAGATGATGACTTTAGATGATGCATTTTGAGAGGAAAAAATAATACATTTTCTTTGGCTGCAAAGGCTAGGAATATGGTATAAGGAACTTCTTTATTCATTAAAAATGTTCAGTTTATTACCTCAAGCTTCAGTGTCAAAATAAAACAGAAAAATGAAGACTTTAATTCCAGTGCTCTGTATGGTTGTGGTAGAGAAAGGATAGCTTAGATTATTTTTAGATTTCTTTTTTAGAAGTTGTATCAAAGAAGAGAACGCTGCAGCAAGGGGAGGAAAATACAAGTCATGCGAGCAGGTAATGAAATGTAACAGCTTTAGGGAAACATGAAAAACTAGTGTGGTGGAATAGAGATCCAGCCCCGTGAAAATTAGAGAAACTGGCCACAAAGCAAAGACTCTGGGAATTTAAAAGTCACTGAATATGAGTGTTTAGATCAAAGGATAGTGACTCTGTTAATGAACAAAAAAAGTTGTTTCAAATATGAAGATGTAGGCAACATATCGTATGTTGCTGTCTGTGATAGTCTTGTTAGGAGAATCAAAATAAATCAGTAAAAGTCAATTTGCTTGAATTGAAAGTGGCACATTTCAGAAGAATGTTAGTACGAACTGTGCATTTCTCTCACGATGCCATATTATGTGAGAAAGTCCGCTGAATGGACTGATGAGGGAAATGAATTACTAATTCTGAGTAATTGAACATAGCTGGGGGCAGAGGGCCTGGGAAAAAACTGAAATACATAAAGAACAAACAATACTCTTGCAAAGTATCAGCTGTGCTGACTCTAATGAGTCACAGAGAAATATCCTTTATGTGTCACATCTTTGAAAGAAGAATTGCAAAAGTCAAACACATCTGATACATATTGTGCTTAGTACCAAGTAACAAATGTTTGACTGGAAGGACCAAGCTAATGTGTGTCTAAGTAACGTTTTTCTCACAAACAGATGCCTTGGTGTGTCCTCATATGAAATCTCTGGGTTCAGCCACTGCCCCTGGCTTTAAAGTGTAGTTCTGTTGAGAGATTTCCTTTTCTTTCAAGTGTCTAGTGATCTTGCTACCTGCTGTGGGTACTTTGGCTCTTTGTTAATAAAAATAGTTTTGTTGCTGGGGCTGTGGAGATACCTGAAAGGAAGGACTTTATCCTCAAACATTCCAAATTATTTGTTTATTCTGGTGAAGGAGATGTGGCCTGGGGTCCTCTGTGAGGGACAGATAGCAAATGTGCTTTCTCTCTACCTAGCACTATTTCTGGGCTCTTGGGAGCAGTGAAGGTTCTGAACTGAGGAATCCGCAGAGAGGCAGGGCGATTTTAATGTTTGTTATTTAGTGAGAAGTGTAACAAATTTCTGCAGCTTCACACCTAAGGATATGAAACATAAATATGAAATACTTACTGTCCTAAATTCCTCTGTCAGCAATTATAATATTGAATATTAAATCCCCGCTTCCCAGTGAGGGCCTGGCATTTCATTAGAGAGTTTTAAAGGATTATAGAAGCTCCTTGGGCATTTAAGAAAACAGAAATTGTTTGAGGAACATGACATTATATCAGAGTGGGAGCAGGCAAACTGAATTTTTTCCTGCCTAATATATGTTAGAATCTTAAAATAGCAGTTTGTGCAATGCAAGCAATGGATGATTTTATACCCTCATTTTTGGTGAAAATAAACTGTATAAACACAAACTGACTGTATAAATGGCTTCCTGTGCGTTTGTTGGTGCAGGATGTGGCATCTGCTGTGTCTGATCTCCATGTCCGCCATCTTGGTTGGTCCTGCTGTTCCAGTCCCACACCTTCTTACTGTTCCTTGTAGACATCTAATTTGTTTCCAAACTTGGGGTTTTTGTGCTTGTCTTTTACTTGCTGCTTCTCCTGCCAGGGAACTTCTTTCTCCATGTTTTTTCTCTCCTTGGAACTCTTCTCTGATTTCCTTATCAAAAAAGATTCACTCAGCCACCTCTTCTCATATAGCACTTTTCCTCTGCCTTTGTTGTCTTTGTGGTGCTCCCGTTCATCACAGGAAATTGTGTTTTGTGTCTGTTCACTTTTAAGTGCTGTGAAATCAGGTTCTTGTTCACAAAAGGATTCCTATACTTTAGTTGTTAGGAACTTCGTAATCGTCAAATGAATGATGGTTCAGATGGTTCAGGTATTTCATGTAAACATAGGTTTTGTTGAACTAGCCATCACTTATTTTACAAAATAAAATTTTGCAAATCTAGAATTTTTTTCCTTACCCAAACTCTACTAAGGTTGTAGGATTTGTCTTGTGTTCCTTGATGCTGAAGATTTGGAGTACTAATTACTCATTTCCTTTTCCATATCCAGTGGATTCCAAGTGTATATAGCAGCAAAATGAGAGTTGAGTGGAGATTATATAGTATTACACCAGACAGTGTAGAGGTTTGGGAGAAAGTAGATTTCAGGATAGTTGGTTTCAAGAACATCCAGTGAATTATCCCTCTTTCGATTTGACTACATAGTAGGTCTCACCAGCAAACACTTATGGGCTGAAACAAAAATCCTGGAGAGCTCCGTTCTATTCAGCAATGTACTAGCAGCCTATGGAAAGACAGAATGGTACTTTTTCACATGCTTCTAAGAATGTGAGCTTATGTCCCATTGGGAATCAGATTCCCTCTGCTTAGGTCTGCAAGTTCTCCTGATATGGATGGAGGTGATGCAGAGAGCAGGCAGAGTGAGAAAGTGAGGGGATTTCACCTGCTCCACATCCTTCAATGGGAAACCAAGCAGCACTGACCTCTTCTGTGGAGCAAACGGGAAGGGTAGCAGCTGTGATTACAACACATTATTAAAGTCTTCTTTACAAAGAGAAGTAATGTTGATCAGAAAACAACTGTCAACACCGGATGTTTCAAAAAGTTGACTGCAATTCTGAGTCACCAAGATATGTCACATTGGAGAGGAGGCTCTGTTTTTATCTCTCTTTGGAGGAGGAATGCTTATTCACCCAGCATTTATTTGACACCTGTCAATAAAAAGGTGCAAGCTCATGAAAAAAATATCATGTCTTACCCCTGATACACTTAGGATAGGTAATGCTCTTTCAAGTGGAAACTCAAGAGCCTTTTCTGTTTCAGGTTCGTGGGAGTAAGGGGGAAGTTCTGTACATTTTGGATGCCACCAACCCACGACACTCCAACTGGCTTCGTTTTGTTCATGAGGCACCATCTCAGGAGCAGAAGAATTTGGCTGCCATTCAAGTGAGCTTCTTTGTTTTATATTTGTACTACGTATTGTTTAGGGAATGAATTAATTTATAACTGTATTCCCTGCTTTAAATATATTTCCCAATGACCCACTTCAAATAACAGTAACTAACCCATAAAAAGCAGAGAAATCTCATCTAGTCAGCGTATGCAGGAAAGAGCAAACCTAGCTATAAACTAACACCATATTTCTCACTTTATGAGAATTCTTGAAGGAATGAATTACACAGTTTGGTATTGTTCTTGGCAGATCTTGTTTTTAAGTGTTTCTATTTCATTTAGTGAAGGTTTCTTGGTTGTTTGGTTCATAGCATTTTACCCTGGGTTATAGCTTGAGAAAGGCTTCATGGAGAGAGTTCACTTGGGACTGTCATAGGTAGGCATTGAGTCTTAAGTTAGGGTTCTTCAGAGAGTCAGAAGTGAGGGGAGATAATTATGCATGTGTCTTGAGATTTATTTTAAGGCATTGGGTCTTGTGGTTATGAAAGTTGGCAAGTCCAAAATTAGCACAGATGATGTCTCATTTGACTCCAGGACTCTGTAGAACCAGGATGTCATCTCTGAAGAATATTAAGCAACACAGCCAATGGACTCTTTAAGCAGGCAGAATTCACTTCTGTTGGGAGTGGTGTGGGGTTTAGACTTGCTTTCTATTCAGGTCTTCAGCAGATTGGATGAGATTATGTTGGTGAGTATACTTTACACTGATTTAAATTTTAAATCAAACACTGATTTAAATTTTAATCTCATCCACAAACTCGCACAGAGAAAGCTGGAATAATGTTTAACCACCTACCTGTCACCATACGGCCTAGTCAGATTGACACATACAATTAACTATCTTAAGTAGGAACCCTGTTTTCCTGAGTTCTGCTTCCCTCTATCCTAATAGACTGCTGCCCATAACACTGGGTTGTGATACAAACAGTGAGGTGCATTTAGGTGATCTCTCAATGAAAATTAAGGCAAGAAAAGGAAAAAAAAAGTAGCTTTTTGAGGGACCCTACAATTAAAAGGTATTGCCCAGATAACTAAGCAAATTAAGCAACATTCTTTTCTGGCAGAAAATTAGTTCAATACATGTAAAAGCTCCGTCTACTGAGTCCTAAATTACAGAAAAGAAAGTGAAGCCATATTTATCAAAATAAAGAAGGGACAGGAAATGAGTAAGGCAATTAACAGTATTTGCGTATCTACCATATGGATTGTTCTAGAAACTTCATCTCCATGAGATCAATATTCATAGAAACTATGATAGTTTGGTAATATATTGATAACATTCAATTTTGAGTTTAAAATCAGTAGTAACAAGAGGGAAAAGTATGGAGTTGCCATTTCAAAGTGACCAACAAAGAGTCATAAAAAATACTCCATGTCTTAATGTTTTATCTAACTATTTTCTTTCAGGCTTTAGTATTGAGTGGTCAATGTGATTATTCTCTTTATGTAAGTGGTAAATTTTACCCAGCAGCTGAATTGTTATGGAAAATAGGCTCTTTGGTAGCCAGAGGCATCCGTGCCAGTTTTCAGATTGTTCATGATGTAACACGGATCCAGTCACATGTTTAAACTGATTTATTCATTTTTTTATTTATGTAGGTGTTAATTTGGTCTTTTTTCAAATATTTTTAGTTTGTTTTTATGTCTTCCTGAGGCAGTCATCTCATGGGACTCATCTTTAAAAAAGAATATAAATTAACAAAAGAGGACAGTTGCAATTTTGGCAGTCTGAGGCGTTATTAATGAGGACAAAGGGAGCAAGGTTAAGGTGAGACTAGGGTAGGAGGAGTGGCCCTGGGAAACTTTACGCTTGAATTTAATTAGGCTCTAAATCTGTTCACTGGCCAGTGTGAGAGTCTTTTGGTGCAGAAGTAATGACAGTGGCTTTAATTTCTTTTACTGTTGTTTTGCTCTTTCTTAAATGGGGGATTGAGTGCACTATTACCATGGTTTTTGTCATGGAGCACAATAGGGATTTTCGTTGGCTCCCTTGAGGTAAAATCTTTCTTATTTGAACAGTAGCTGGAGTAGCGGGTTGCTGAGGGTTCAGAGTCACATCTAAGCAAGGGGCAAAGAGCATAGCGGTTGGGTCACATGGCTGAAAATGATGTCAGCCTTCTAAATGGTTGGGATGCTCTCCTGAGGATCACATTCCAGAAACACTGTGTTGGTAAGAGCAGATCGTAATGTTTCCTGCATTACATTATGAATCACTCGCATTCCAAATTGTATCTGAAATTTGGGGTATTCAGGAAATTTTTTATTTAAGCTGTATGTCCCAGAAGTGAAGTAAATGAGAAACATTTGTGGCTATGTGGCTTACTTGGTGGAAAACGTCAATACTTGGTCCAATTTTTTTAGACAAGGGATTAAGAATTTGAGGTCTGTTTTGGCAAAGAATTGGAGCTCAGTCTTAGAGACTTGATTATATTTCTAGTTTTGCAATTTATTTGATTTTGGGAAATTTGCTTTGGAAATGATGGTATAAGTATCTGAATTACTGAAGGAGGATCTAGTAAGCAAACAATTCTTCCCACATGCACACTTTTCAGAATAATCAGTTGAACTGTGTATTCAGACTTCTGAAAAGTTTCCAGCTATCACTAGAAAATTGTAAATGTGAACAAATGGCTTAAAATGAACCAAAAACATTCTTAGGCCCTGTAAGAAGTGAGTGATTCTTCTTAAATGCTAAGTCTTTTGTACTTAGAAATAGTATTTGGAAGGAAGTTTGACATAGTCGGTGTTTTACGGGCCTTTAAAAACATTTTTGATAGAAAAATAGTTAAACTTGTTCCATTAGGATAAAAAAAATGTGCTATTTATAAATGAAACTTTGAATTTTTTTGGACATTTCAAACAGAGGATGTTATATCTCTTTTTCTTAAGGGCATCTTCCTTAAGGGCTTTTTGGTTCACATTGTGAGCATTAATGGCTTGATGTTTTAAGAAAAAAGGAACAAATGGAAAACCTTTGGTGGCTAGTCTACCTTATGAGGGGTGTCAGGGTACAAGGTTGGTCTCCATGAGAAAAACTGAATATCATGCTAAAATACTAACATGTTATAGCTTAATTCCAATTGTGGTGTCATTTTAGATCCCTTATTAGGGGCCAAACTACTTTCTTACATATTATTAGATATCTTTTTCTTGCCTTGCCTGAGTGTGGACCATCATAGGCATTGTGGACATACATGAAATATCAGTGTGACAGAGCAGGTGATCAAATGTGGATCCAAAAGCAGAGACACTACTTAGTTATTTTTTTAAAGCACTTATAGAACTTTCTATTGCCACTAACCCACCAGGATGCACACAGTCTTATCAGATAGTGTTGATGGACAATTTGGGTAAAAGCATTGCCAACTAAGTAACCAATCAACAACAAAAATAAATATCACAATGATTTATCATATACATAAAACAACACAGTTTCTTCTAGTTCTTCTCTATTTCTGTTCTTTATAAGACTTTATACAAATGGTATGTAAAATGCTCCCAAGTGTCTTAGATGTTCAGAGTGAAACTTTTGGAAATGGATTGGATCATGTTGCTAATATACTCATGCACTCAGGAATGTGTTAGAAGTGGGGCATGACCTGGAAGGAAATATTCTTGTTTAAGGCTCCTCCCTTCTCTCTATGCTTCTTGGCTTCTAAGGTTTGAGTACTTTTTCTCTACCATGCCCTTCTAACTTGCTGGATTTTCCTTGGAACAAGGCAACCATGGACTAAACCCTATGAAACCAAACCAAAATAAACTTCTCCTTTCAGTAGAAACAGGTGAGTATTTTGCACCTGTGATGAGACAGTGACTAATACACACTGTTTCTATAATATTTTCTAGAGTCCATCTGCTAAAAAATAGAGAAGTATAAAATACTAGTCAAATTTCTCCTTGCTGGGACAAAATACCTTACACCAACAAGTTAAAGGAGAAGCTTAATTTGGCTCATGGTTCAGAGATTTAGTTCATGAATGGTTGACTCCAAACAAGACCATCCGGGCAGAAGTGCACAGAGGAGCAAGTTTGCTCTCGTCATGGCCATGAAGAAGCAGAACAGGTGAGAGTGCCAGCTAGAAATATAGTTGGTTAGGTGAGATATTTTTGTTTGTCTCATTTCAGAAATTGTAGAGGTAGTTTCCTTACCCCTACTTAAGACCAACCTTGCTTCTCTGGGTTAGGGATGGGGAGAAGCAGCCATAGAGACAGAGGTATACAGGCAGATAGAAGGTGACCTGTAAGTTGTTGCAATCTCTACTTAGAAATAACATACCATACCAAATAATATACCTTTTGGTCCAGGTATTACTTGCATAGTCCAACCCTGATACTGTATTGAGGGGACTGCATCGGGGCGTGACTACCAGAGGTGAGAAATCATTGGAAGCCCTCTTTGAGGCCGGGTATGGCAATGATCAATGGGAAACATTTGCATTATGGAGGAGTTGAGTAAAGTTAAAGGAAAAATTAGCAGTTGGCATAGAATTAGAAGAAAGACAGAACCCAGTTGAGTTTGGTTAAAAATCAAGAAAGGCAGTTAGTTCTAGGTAATGGTGTTTTGTTGGCTGAAAGAATTGAGGAAGCTTCCTGACCTTGATGTATATGAACCGGCTGAGGGGGATACATATTCATTTAATCAGTAGCTGCAGAGCATCCATGTGCCATGTTTAATGCTGGGTGCTGGTGATACCGTGGATAGAAAGATGATCTAGTTTGGGCCGTGATAGCAGTAAGAATAGTCTTTAAAACTGCTTCTACTCATGAATAAATTCTTATAATGCCTACCTCATTGGATTTTGTGAGGATTAAATTAAATGAGGTATCATATGCAAAACACCGGGCACCTATTCCTGCCTATATGTTAGCCAGTGTTTTTTCACTTCCATCCCCTTGCCAGGTACAAAATTCTGTCTCTGTATGAAACAGTAGAAGTCTGTAGTGTCACTGATGGCTATCTCACTATATGCATTATAATTCTGCCTATATAGAAG